GAAGAGAGGCATCCTCCATACCCTGTCACCTGTCACAACACTGGCCTACACACACACACAATCATCATCAGTCAAAAGAGGAGCTGGGACAGAGATGCTGTAAGTATTTTTACTGTGCACACACACGTTACCTTTTGCAGCTTCTCCCAGAGCCAGTCAGAGTTTGTAAACACTCCAGTCGCTGCTGAGCCGAGAGCTACATCCATCGCACCTTAAGGACAGAAAAATATTAACATTTTTACTGATTTAATTAGAAAATGTCTTCATTAATCCATGTCACAGTAACTGCTTCACATTCTAAGTTGATTAACCGTTGTTATAAAATCCAACCTGTGAGTGTGGCCACATTGACAATGGCTCTGGGGTTGAAGGTGTGTCCGTAACACAGTGCATCAGCGAGAACGAGTCTGCCCTCCGCGTCTGTATTATCAACCTGTACACAACAACAACAAAGACTGTTCACCTGGACAAACACACCTGTCACACTCAGGTGATATATATTTAAAACTTGAACTTTTTTTTTTTTTTTAAATCACACGTCCACCAACCTGGATTGTTTTCCCATTTTTGGCTATGATAACATCCCCTGGTTTAGTAGCGTTTCCACTTGGCATGTTCTCACACAACGGAGCCAGACCTAGATCATGGTGACAAGCAGACACAAGACAGGCTAAAAGATTTGTTTTCAATGGAGAGATAAAAATAGGTCCGTCCATTAAGAGTTATAAGTTATTTAAAAAGACCACAGGGATCTGCATGGACATAACACACTGTAATTTAAAATCTTTGATGGGGAAAAAAAATAAGTTAAAGCTGGAGAATCCTAAATGTCAAAAGGCCCACCGATAATGTTGACCGGCAATTTGAGAGCTGCTGCTGTGACGATAGACGCACACACAGTGGCAGCTCCGCCCATGTCAGCTCTCATTGCATCCATAGAAGCAGACGGCTTCAGAGAAATACCACCACTACAAACACACAGAGGGAATCGGGTGAATGGCGAAACAAGAACCAAGTATTGTCAACTTTTTACAGCAGTAATAGCTGGAGTGTGTTCTTTGATTTACCTGTCAAAGGTGATGCCCTTTCCTACTAAGAGCAGTGGGGCCTGCTTGCTGTCAGGCGAACCGTTGTAATGCAGCTCCAGAAAGACAGGGGGCTCCACTGAGCCTTTAGACACGCTGAGAAAAGCTCCCATCTGTTGCTCCTGTATCCAACTCTGTGATCTACACACACATAAAAATGATTTAGACACACAATTTCTCTTTCCCCTCATTTCCTCTTCATATTGCCAAATAATCAGTCATCAGATTTATCCTTATTACAAGCATAGGATTATGTTGAGCTAGCTGCTAAAAAGAGAAAGTCAAATATGTTTAAGTTTATCATCTGTTCATTTTGAGGGAGAGAAAAAGGTTTTCCTAAGGACATGAAGTACGATATTATATTTATAAATATGTCTTTATCAAATTACATCTTGATATTACCCAACAATTCCTCTTTTTTTAATCACTGGGTCTCCTTTATTCAAACAGTAAACATTGTCAGGACAGAATGTCACGTGTTAGTCTTCAAATGTAGGGGTGTTTGACATTTTTTCTTGAAAGGGAACTTCAATTGATTATTAAAATAGAATCTGATTATCTGTCAATAGCCCTATCTATTACCTCTTACCTCTAATGTCATTTCAAAATGGTCTTACCCGATAAATGCTAATAGCTTTCAACTTAGCTTTTCAACGGTAAATTAGATTCAAATTTAGCAATTGTTAAACAACAGTCATTTTTTAGCCAAAAAAAAAAAAAAGGATGCAGCGTTCCATATTTATCCTTTTACCAGGCAAAAAAAAAAGTGTTCACACACTATTTGGTTGTAGCATCTTTTCTAGCATTTTTTAAAATATGTCTGGTCTTCATTGCACGTTCTACTGAAAGGTTATAAAATAGATAAACGAAAGGACTTTGCACAGTGCACACACTCCTGCCTTTGTACATATAGACATTGCTGATGAATAAAGCACAAACCTTTTATTAATTGTTACTCGTTCGGCATGTGGCGCAAGTTTCTCTTCGATGATGTTGGCAAAGGCCGTAGGAGTGATGTGATTGGCTGGAGCCTCCATGAGCAGCCTTGCTAGGTTCTGTCCTTCTGCATATATGACTCCTTTCCCCCAACTTGCAGAGTCAGCACTGTAAACAAATACACATAAACAGTGTCATTTCAATGTAGGTCGCATGTTGTTGCTCATCTTTGTTTTTTTAACCCATGAGCGAAATATCTTCTCACTCATCCGTTAGTCTACCTTCCATGAAGCTGCGTGGTCACTTTGGTCGTCTTCTTTGATTTGAGTTGGTCATACTGAAACAAACCCAGAGCAGCTCCTTCTGCTGCAGACTGGGCATCACCGCAGGCATCTACCTCCACATGGTTCACCTCCAGGTCCTGAAGTACCCGGCATCCAGCTTAGAAAAAAACAATACCCACACAGACATCAGCCAGGTAATCACTCCACCACGATGCTCCACCACGTAGTCAGCACCACAAAGAGACGAGTCATGTGACTTACCTGAAACTGCATGTCTGATATTCTCCTTGCTAGTATCCCAGTTCTCTGCCCCACACACACCTGCATTGTTCTTGCCTAGCCCAACTACTGCCACACAGGGAAAGTCCTGAAAAAGACAGAAGGTTTTACTTTCTCTGATTTTGAAAAGAGACTTTTCTTAGTTGAATGTCACTCCGAGTACCTTGTGAATTCCATAAAATACTCTGCTTTTGCCTTTTTTGAGAGTTGGTCCAGAGCTGGAGAGAACAAAACAAAAGTCTGTTAAATAACCAACGAAGCAACAAGTAAGGCAGACATCCAGTGCAGCTCAAATACTCAATGTCGTGCCAAAATCTTTTTTTTTCTTCTTCTAAAAAAAACCATGTGAATGAAATGAACAGCAGTTTCTCTTACTCTGATTGTGTGTTATCCCAATGTTCACAATATCCATAAGGATGGGTTACTTTTATATGACAGTACATGCAGTGACAATAGAATTTAAATAACTGTAATCAGGCCCTAAGTGGTTCATATAACTGCAATCCATTATGACAAAGCATTTCTAGACATTAAGTTAGAAATAATATGATAAAGCGAGGGGTTAATATTTTGTTTGGGTGATTTACTGGTCAATTACCACTACGTTTATATAGAGCAATTTAAAGTAAACAAACCTCTTTAAAAACATTTCATCTAATGGAAATGGAAATCTGACCTTATAAGGTTTGATTCCCTGCAACACTGTTGTGTCACCTTAAGCAAGCAGTTTCTAACTATCTGTTTTATATTATTAGTATATGTGGTAGAGTAAACCACATGCTGACACCTCACAGAAATTACAAACTCACATTTCCAGCAGTTCAGAAAGTTTCCCAGAGAGACTTTGGTCAAAACCAGCTGCTGCCTCTGTCAGATGTAGACTTCCCCCTTCTCCATCTTTTTCAAACACTCCCAGCACCAGACCCTGCGCACGCACACACACACACACACACACACACACACACACACACACACACACACACACACACACAACAACACACACACAACACAAACACACGCACAACGCACGCGCGCGCGCGCACACACACACACACACACACACACACACACACACACACACACACACACACACACACACACACACAACAACACACACACAACACAAACACACGCACAACGCACGCGCGCGCGCGCACACACACACACACACACACACACACACACACACACACACACACACACACACACACACACACACACGTGTTGAGAACTGTGTGAGTGTCTGATGTAACTCTTTGACAGGTAAGCTCGTGTTTCACAGGCTGACATCAGCTAACTTACTTTTCTCTCGTTCAGGTGAGTCCGTGAGGCAGAAAATGACCTGCGGAGGTTTGTCCGCACCGCCGACTGCGCAGCTCTCCTCAAAAGAAGCATTGTCATCTGTTCAGCATACATAAACCCAAAGCAAAATCTGTTGGTTTATAGTTTTAGAGGTCGCATATGCATGTGCAAAAAGAGTGTAGCTCGACCTGACAGCGTCGCGCTTTTCTTACGTCACCAAAAGACAAAGATGAACTGTTGCCGCCCCCTGGTGGCCGCAGGAGGAAACTGTGGAAAGGGATTAGGTCACTAGAATCGTACTGTATAACTTAATCAGTTTCCTATTCGCATTTTTTATTCTGTAGACCAAATTATTAAGACTTTAAATTCCTTTCATGTCTTTTATTCCTTGATGTAGCCTATCTTTTTCACTGACGTCATAGTTTTGTACTGAAAGGCTTTTTTATTCAGGAAAGAGAATATGATATCATATGACTGTGGCACATAAAAGTGTAAAACAAATTTAGGAATTTTCAGATTACATATAAGAAAAACACACATTAATAAAACACATACTCCAGTTGCATTGATATTTGTTTGACTCGGCTTTATTTTTGTTTAGTAGCCAGTTATTTTCCCTTGCTGAAACATCTTAATCAATGTAAGAAAAACAAAACAGAAAACTGTTACCATTGTTCTGAAGTCATGCATCCAAATCGATCCAAATCCACATAACAGATTATAATGAGTCTAAAACAAATATATAAATCATTTAATGCCTAACTTATCTTTTTTAACATGTTTAAATTGTTCCTAACAGCTAACGTCCTCAGATGTGAGAAACCTTATATGGCCACACACATTTATTAAATATGAAATGATAATGGTTTAGTCTTTTTTCTGTTAATGGAAGATCATATAGATTTATGTCACTGAGCCCAAAACTTTCAGAGAAACAAATCATTATTCGTCCACTGTCCTCTGGAAACATGCATTATTAGAGATTCAAAAATGTAGACTTTAACCCAGGGAAGTTACTTTTTCATAAAGGGAAGTTACTTTCTGTCCAAACACAACCGAAGACTGAAGACTTTCTTCTGCAAACTATAAAGTGGCTGAAACACAGATCCAATAATAACATTATCTTATTTAATGAAAAAAATCAGGACATATTTACAGATTGCAGCTATAGACATAATATATACAGCACAGAATGAGCAGAATTCATTGTTATACTTGTTTACTTAGGGTTAGACTTGGTCTTGTAAACAGAGAGTTGATTTAAAAATTCTGCATTTTTGCTCTGAGCATTTCCTTTATTACCAGTGTCTGAAACCATGATGTGACTCAAGCTTAACTTGTTGATTTTCTGAGGTCCAGCAGCCACCAGCAGATGTTAACTCGGATGTATCCAAAATCCATTTCTGCATAATTTTGAAGATCTCCAGTGTGTGTTGACTGTTGAATAACATAGTTGTCACCGCTTTTTGTTTGAGGTTTTCTCAATTTTTGAGGTTTTCTCAATTTTGAGCAATAAAAGATGAAACCTTTATAACCGCTGGAAAAGGAATTGCCAAGTTAGAATTCCCATAATAAAGAGTAATAATGTTATATTCAAGCTATTATCAGCTTAAAAGTCATCTTAAGTTAAAATGTTTCTGGAACAGTGTTGAATCCCTTTGCTGTCAGTCTTTGAGATTTGCTCCTGTCAACGTTCAGGAATATAAAAACAAACACCAATGCTCTCTGGACACCCTTCAGTAGAGCAGGTCCAGAGAAGAGATCGTTGGTTCTTCAGGTTTCTTGATCTCTGGTTTGGGCAGTTTGATCCGGCTCATGGCCACAACTCCACAGACGGCAAAGTGAGACCCAATGCTGCCCACACCGAGCCAGAAGGACCAGTCCAAGCTGTCATCCAGGACCACAAGAACAAAGAGGTTCTCGTGGAAATTCGCCACCCGCTCAGTCAGACTGTGATGTCTCAAAGCTGCCAGGAAACACAGCAGGGCCAGGGCACCGAAAAGGGCTGGCGACAGAGACCGAGACAAGTCAGGACCGAAAATTAGAGAGGCATGGTAATGCTCAGAAACACAAGAAAGGAGAATAAATAAATAAAAAAAGAGGGATGAGGGAAATACTGGCAAAGAAATAGGGGAGTATATAGATTATAGAAGTGGCATGAAACATACCAGCGATGAAGTTCCACAGGTAAAGTCCTTTGTGCCCTTTGATGCTTTGGTAGGGAACTTTGCGTGCGTTGTAAATGCAGAACGACAGGCTGACCATGGCAAAGCCCATAGCCACCAGCAGGAAAAGGATCACCATCATGTGAAGACCACCGTTTAATGTCCGCACAAGCTTTGGGAAAACTGAACCAACAGACAGAAACAAGAAAACACATTTTAAAAAGTTATCATCCCCTTTAAACTGGATTTAGGCATAACTTCAAGATGACGAGAGACGGTGAAAAAACAGATGTACTTTTTAGTGTGAGTATGGAGCCTATAACTCCAATATATACAAAAGTCTTCTTTTTGGATACTTTGGTAATCTTCTCACCTGACATGCATGCTGTGAAATCTTAATTAATTGATTTTAACTGCAAATGTTTGTTGGCAATAAAAGTCACCACTGTTTTTAAAAATGAAAGCATGATGTGTTTGTGCAATATTCACTTTTCTTTGTTCACACAGTATTGAAGGAGGAATGGATCCCAATGAATCCTTTATAATAAATCAGGAGCAACATTTCTGTTATATTTCCACCAATACGATTCATTTAATGATGTATTAGATATTATATAAATATAAATATATTCAGCCTAATATATATGTTATATCAGGGTGATATTACTAATAAATATTTGATGTACTTTTATGTCCAGATCAATTCTAAATGTTTATTCATAATGGTATAGCCTGAACCTTTTGGTATGGACAAAACAGAGAGGTAAAAGTTCACAGCAGGTTGTGTTGTGTCTTACTGTAGATTTTGGAACTCCTCTTGCCCAGTCCGCACTTTTTGCTCTTTCCTCCCTGGAACAAACCGTAGTAAATATCCCCGATGAACTGTTCCAGCTCCGGGTCTGAAGCGTTCACTATCTCCGCCCCGGTCTTGCACAGAATCCTTCCCGTCACCCACTGCTCCGTGGACAGGGCCACTAGCAGCAGGACCACGGAGCCGACACAGAGCACCGAGGCCACCGAGAAGGTTATCCGTTTCCACAGAGAAGGCATCTTACGAGCCCATGCTGCCCCGAGGGAGGTAACACGACGCTGGGCAGCGAGCGCGACGCACACCCGGCGATCACCATGAGTTAATGCTCTAGTTTTGAAAAAGAAAATGAATCATAGTAACCGTTTGAAAATGTTATTCCTTCCAGTCTACTGCTGCTTGATGTGTGAGTTACAGAGGAAAAGAAACCGAATCTTTGGCGGTCAAAGAGATCTCTTACTGGGAGAAACTCTATCCCTGTCGTGCGCGCCTGCTCTCTCTCTCTTTCTCTCTCTCTCTCTCTCTCTCTCTCTCTCTCTCTCTCACACACACACACACACACACACACACACACACACACACACACAAACACATCTTATTCAGAGGGTAAATTAAAATGAACCTTTACAACCTGGCCTTTTGAGCAGGAAATTAATCCGGAGTTATGACCTCAGAAGAGATGTAGAATCACATCAGCAGAATTAATGCTGTCAGAATGAAATACATGGTCCATTTAAACCCCAAAGGTCAAGTGAGTATTAGCCACAGACCGAACATTGTGTTAAAAGATTCATAGTCTTGACTATCTAAAGTATTTCTGATCTTATCTGATCTTGTTTCTTGCATGGTCCACTTGTTTTTTTAATTTTATATTTTATCTAGTGGGTCAAAGTGACTAAACACCACAAGCACATACAATACTAAGGTCAAATTTGGTGCCTCCATATTAGAACAAAAATGAAGCAAATTGTCTGTTTGATGCACCTGTGGTGGATAAACCGAATGATCTTAAAATTGATACACTGTATTAACAAAAATCAGCTAAACCTCTGCAGTAATATGCATTTGATTTACTTTAATTTAATTTAATTTAATTCAATTCAATTCAATTCAATTCAATTTATTTTGTATAGCGTCAACTCATAGTGTTATCTCAAGACACTTTACAAAAAGTTGTTCTGGCAGGCCGTCAACCAACGATCTTGAGGAGCCTAAGAGAGCTCAAGAGCTCTCAGGAAAGGAGGTGGTTAGTGACTGAGATTTACAGATAGATACATGCAGTAATATGATGTACTGTATATGCACAGAGAGAGAGAGAGAGAGAGAGAGAGAGAGAGAGAGAGAGGAGCTCAAGGTGCCAGTTTCCCTGGTAGTCTAAGCCTATAGCAGCATAACTAAGAGCTGGTCTACACCAGCACTAACTATAAGATTTATCAAAAAGGAAAGTTTTAAGTCTATTCTTAAAAATACAGACTGTGTCTGCCTCCCGGACCCCGGCTGGAAGGCAGTTCCAGAGGAGAGGAGCCCGATAACTGAAGGCTTTACCCCCCCATAGTACACTTGGAGACTGTAGGTACCACCAGCAGGCCTGCACTCCGGGACCGCAACGCTCTCGAGGGACAGTACGGCACTAGTAGCTCCTTCAGGTAAGATGGTGCCTGGCCATTTAGAGCTTTGTAGGTGAGACGAAGGATCTTGAATTCTATTCTAGACTGTATAGGGAGCCAGTGCAGTGAAGCCAGGACAGGAGTGATGTAGTCCCATTTCCTAGTTCTGGTCAGTACACGAGCTGCAGCGTTCTGGACTAGTTGAAGAGTCTTTAGAGATTTGCCAGAGCACCCTGACAAAAGAGAGTTACAATAATCCAGTCTGGAGGTAACAAATGCATGAACTAGTTTTTCTGCATCATTTTGCGACAGGATATTCCTGATCTTGGATATATTACGAAGGTGAAAATAGGCTGTTCTTGAAACTTGACTGATGTGAGAGCTAAAAGACATATCTTGATCAAAAAGAACTCCTAGATTCGTAACAGTGGTGCTAGATGCCAGGCTGATGTCATTAAGGACAGTCAAATCACTAGAAAAAGTCTCTCTGAGGTTCTTAGGGTCTAGCACAATAACTTCAGTCTTGTCTGAGTTAAGTATCAAAACATTTCTGGTCATCCAGGTCCTCACGTTCTTAAGGCACGTTTCTAGCTGACATAACTGACTGGTGCCATCTGGCTTCATTGATACATAACCCTGTTCCCAGGTGCAGACTATGAAGAGGTAACAACAAGAAACTAAGAAATGTCTCCATTAATGGGAAAACAGTGCCTTGTGTGTACGCTGTAAGGATCTATAGTATGGTGGTGAAAACTGCAAAGCACATCAGTGTGGGACTTCCGTCCATGGGAGACCATATTTCTATGTTGTACTCATGCACCAAAAGGCTAATTCCTTGTTTGAATTCTTGGCAATCAACCTGATTTTCATTTGACTTCTGAATGAATTTGAATCAGAATATTGATAGCCTGGAAAGTGGGTTACCCAGGTTCAAATCCAACCTGTGACTCCTTTCCTGCATGTCATTCCCCACTCTCTCTCTCTCTCTCCCGACTTCTGACTCTATCCGCTGTCCTGTCTCTAAATAAAGGCATAAAAAGCCCCCCCCACAAAAAAAGAAGTTAAAAAAAAGATAAAGGAGAAATTGAATTATGCATCCTAAAAAAATACATCTACCTCCCCCAGCTACCAAGGCTGAATCACCAAAAGCAGCAGGTTCACTGTGACAACTGGTTTTATGATATTAAATGAATTGTTATTGTTTGCAGAACTAAAGCACACTAAACACTGACATGATCAAGACCTGCATTGGCATGATCAAGCTTCAACGTGATACTGATACTGCACATAAAAGTAAGATCTAGATTAATCCAGTGAATAAATATACAAAATGAAAAGAGGGGTGTAACAGAGTGGCTATTGCAGACCCAGCTGCTCAATGTATTAGCAGTACCTCTAAGCAGGTATATCCAGCTGTGCACTGGAGAGCCTGAGGGTAAAAAATAGCTGGGGGCCTCTGTTGAAACCCATTCCTTCCCCCATCTGCTCACAGTGTACAGCATGTACTGTACATTGGTGTGTACAGTGTCATGCGTATAAATGAGTGAATGGTACCTTTATATTTTGCCCAAAGTCTAAATAATGACTCAGTTTATATTCTACATAATAACTACACATGAATGAGGGTTTCAAAATCTGTTCTGATCTGTAATTAGAAAAATTATATGCTTTAATCGTTTTAGTTCGAACAGTCTAATTAAAACCACTCATCAGTTAAAAAAAGTGTACAAACATGTAATCTATAAAGCAATTTACTTTACACTGTTACATTTTCGCATCCTTAGTCATCATTGTTTTTCATTTTTTTAATAATATTGTTAGGCATATTTATTTCTTTATCATTACTGTACTTTTTTGTAATTTGATGTAGTTTAGTATAATTTATATGATGATTTATATGATTTTCTTTTTAATTACCCACCCTTTTGAACGACCTGTGATGTCTGATTGTTGTACATTGCTTTAGAGAGGAGAAAATCAGCCTTTTTTTGTCATTGGTCTTTCAACCGAGTCCGGGTGGAAAAAGTACTCACTGGTCTCCATGGCGACCTCTGCTGGTGATCCGGTGACACTAAAGAGCTTTGCGTAATGACGACAGAGCATGTGACGCAGTTGTCAGTCTCCCAGGCAGCGGATGAGACCGTTTGGCGAAGATGGCGGACTCGCTGTCGTCAGGTCTGGGAGACGAGAAAGAGAAGGAGAAGGAGGACAGGGAGAGGAGCGGACACGCTGCCAAAGCGGAGAAGAACAAGGAGAAAGACGATGTCAGGGAGACGCTGAGTTCAAAAGATAAAAATGGCGGCAATATGGGCAAGAAACGCAACCTGTCAGGTGAGAGCTAGCGACAGCAACACACTCCAGTTTGACAGTGTTAGCTAGCTGTTCGTGTGGTTGTTGTTTTTCTGTTTCATGTTTACGATACTCGCTGACCTTTATTTTTAATAGACTTACGGTGTTATTGCAATGTCTGTCTCTTACAGCACGCAGTTTAAGTGTAGTCTCTGCAGCTGTGGGCGCTGCACTGAGTGCCCTCTTGGCTTCAGTGTGTTACCATCTGAAACACAAATACTGTTTATTAAAGACTGAGCTGAAGTTAAAGTGCCTTTAGGTGGCTCCTTATGTAATGTGCAAATAAATTACAACTGCATTTAGAAGTCACCATTGTCAGCAAGACTACGCCATTGAATGTAATCATACTGGAGTCTAAATAGGCCAGTAGGCTCCTCTGGCAGACAGTAGTAGTCGATGGGCTGTTGATTTGCGCATGCGCACATTCACTCATCTGGCTTGAGAGTAGGTACACTCTGTTTCAGGACAAAACTATGCGGACACACATATATACATATGTGTTAGGGCTGGGCGATATGGACCAAAACTCATATCTCTATATTGTTTAGCTGAATGGCGATACTCGATATATATCGTTATGTCTTTTATTAACAATGAAAACACATGGAAAAATAAACTACTTGCTTGTGAATTTAAAAAGTAATATTATAAAATAAAAATGTTCCTTAAATAAAAAAAAAGAGAGAGAGAGAGAGAGGAGGAGCAGGGTTAAGAGGGACAGACAGTCAGTCATCAGTGAGATGAGGAAAAAGGTGACCTGGCACCTCTGTAATGTTATTTTTAATGAAACATAAACTATATCGATATTAACGTTATTGTCTTACACTATATCTTGTTTGAAAATATATCGATATATCTTAAAAACTTGATATATTTCCCAGCCCTAATATATGCACTAACTTTCATGAACTTTTAGTGTTTGTTCCAATTGAATAGTTTAATAATGATTTAGTTTCACATTTCTAAAAGGCTGTAGTTTTTCTAGTTAATTCATTAGGTGCGGATTAATACAGATTTATTTTCTTTCTACTTTGAGTCAAGTTTCATTAATGGCAGCCTGGACGCCTCACTTTACCTAAGATAGCTTGACAGAGCTTTTTAACTAGACCCCTCTTGTCTGGTAAACTACTAAACTGCCACACTATTCAAACCCAAAAGCCACATTTTTTTATGCATGTTAATAAAGAAGTAGAAACCGAGCCCAACCTGAGGTGTGCCTGAGAGCAAGACTCCCTAGTGTAATAAACTGAGTTTGATATATCATTAAAGCTGCCCTTCCTGGGAGATCTTACTGCTGCAGGATACAATAATATTTGGACAATAGTGTGCTTCAAACTTTGGGGCAACAATTTAAAGAAGGCTCTTACATGCTTTAACCTCTAGATACCACTTCGCCCTAAGCTAAGTTCATAAAGTAATGTCTTTCCAAGATAAGCCAGGAGGAACTGTGAAATCCGTTTTAAAGCCGTGACCTCAAAGCAATGCAAAACACCTTTGGGATTTCTACCCTAACTGTAAGCCAGGCTTCATCAGTCAACATCAACAACTGATCTCACTAATGTGCTTTTCACTGAATGTGAATAAATATCCCTGTGCTCAAATTATTTGGAAAACTTTCCCAGAAGTGTGAAAGCTGATTGATATTCTTGGAATGAGTAATTCTTGGAATACTGTTAATGTTATAACATGCAGACAAATTAAAGGAAGGAAAAAACTAAAGAAATTGTCTTAGTAATTGGGCAAACAAATATGACCAGAATAGCTTCAGAATAGCTTCAGAATAGCTTCAGAATAGCTTCAGTATAGCGTGGCTTTTATCCTTTATATAAAGAGACCCTGAGACCTATCTGTCATTATGGCACTTTTCAATTTTATAATTGAAACACACTGGCATACTTTACTGTACTGTGATTGTGACAACTTGGTGCTGTTTAACAGAACAGCATCTGCATTTAGTAATCTATTTGCAGCTTATTTCTTTATCAGCTGGGTTAAATATTTCCATTGTCACTTTTGATCTCTTTCCACATAGTTAATGGAGCTTCCTTTGCTGTACTGTAGTTTAATTTGTATGGTTACCTCTTCTTTTTTTTTTTTATTGTTGTTTTAGCTGCAATCTGCTCGTCTGTTGCACTTGCAACACACAACACAACGTCCTTCTGGCTCTCCAATTTGCACAGACGTCAAATTGACTCTGTTACTACCACCACTGCTGACCTAAAGTTTGAACAAGCTCAGCCATTCTGTCTTTATGCCTTTACACAGACCAGTCTTAAAATAGTCTAAGTAAAAGAGGCCATAATCTCTAGCTGTAGGAAGCCATTCTTACATAAGATATTCCCTTATTCTGTGAATGAATCCTTATTGCAGGGGAAAGGAATTCAGGCTGTTTTTTTAGAGTATGTATGTTAAGTTTGGTGTGCGCACAGATATTTTGCTATACAGGGTATTATTTAAGGCTAATAATAAAATGCATGCTTTGTTATTTACAAAAAAGCTTTTTTTTTTGCAATGAAATGCAGGTGAAATAAGTCATCAGAGGCTTCTAGGTTCACTTTTTGTAACCACTATGTTGTCAGAGAAAGGGAGAGGCATCAGGCAGTGATTTTCTTGTAGATGATTGTTCTGAGCTTGAATGTAAGCAGACTGACACTGTTTATAGGGAATGAGAAGACTGTTGACTCATGCAACAGGCTGTAAGATCTCTGCACATGTCTTCATCTCTGTCCTTTCTGGATCTAGACCTGTCTCTGGTCCGATTTATAACGACTGAGCTCACCAGAGGCTACTTCTTGGAACACAATGAGGCCAAATACACAGAGCGCAGAGAGAGGGTCTACACCTGCCTCCGCATCCCCAAGGAGCTTGAGAAGGTACAACACAAAAAAAATTACCTTGACATTCTCAATTCAAAATTTTGTCTCAAGTCACAATTATATAAATATTCTCCCTCTTTGTGTCTTTCTCCCATTCTCTTTTTAAGTTGATGACATTCGGCTTCTTCCTCTGTCTGGATGCCTTTCTATATGTTTTCACCCTGCTGCCTCTCAGGGTGATTCTGGCCCTTTTACGGCTCCTCACTTTGCCTTGCTGTGGCCTCAGGTAAAGAATATAATTATTACCAGGAATGCACTTTGAATTTATCTCCCCAATCAGCTATATTTTTCAAACTCAACAGTATTCTGATAACAGAAACCTAAACTAGTTAAACTCAGAAAAGGCTCTATTAATTAATTACAGAGCTGTTGTTTTGGATTGCTTTATTGTATGATGTTGTGGCATTTCTATAGATATGCTTGTCCAAGTGTGCAGCAAAGATTTTCATTATCAGTGATTTACTGTGATTTCAGAACTGTTTGGTCTGTAAAACAAAAAAACAACTTTGAAGATGTTAGATCTTTTTTTTAAATTGAATCACAATTTTGTGGACCAACAGTTTATCAGTTGACTTTAAAATATATAAAAAAAGAAAAATAGCTACTGTAAACTCACTGATAGATACCTTCACATTACCTCCATATTTGTTTGTAATAACAATCAGTGCAGTATTATTAACTGTAACCTCTAGAGGGCACTACAGCTCTCTCTGACTTTTAGGCTGAACAGATCATAGTTACCTGCTTTCGATTGTTCTGTTCTTTTATTATTGTTATTCAGTTAACATTTTCTCATGTTAAATGTGTGTGTTTGTTTGTTTTAGTGGCTCCCGCCTACTCCAACCAGCCCAGGTGTGTGATGTGCTGAAAGGCTTTATTATGGTGCTGTGTTACTCTATGATGAGCTACGTGGATTACTCCATGATGTACCATCTGATCAGGGGACAGTCTGTCATCAAACTCTACATCATATACAACATGTTAGAGGTACACCGAGATGACATCACTTTATTGTTATAACTCTGGTTGTTCTGTACATTTAGCCAACCACTCACTTGCTCTCTTGGCCCATGTCCTTTTGTCAGGTGGCAGACCGCCTCTTCTCATCATTTGGACAGGACATCCTTGATGCTCTGTACTGGACAGCAACAGAACCAAAGGAAAAGAAGCGCGCTCACATAGGCGTGATTCCACACTTCCTCATGGCTGTGCTATACGTCTGTATCCTCACTGAGAAGGTTCTGTGATTGTAGTTACTGATCTGTGTATCTTGTTGCTGTGAAACAAGAGCTTACAGGTAACATAGGTCAGCTAATGAAAGGAATGAAACACACCTGAGACATGAGGTTGATGAGTCAGTCTTTAGTAAATTCTTCAGTAAAAATGTTTGATAAGCTTTGAATGTTTATGTTTGAGTAAGTTGCATTTTAAGCTAAATATCAGTGGCCTGTTGCAGCAGCTATTCAGAAGTGTAGTCTTAATTTTGTCCACACTTATCCTACGTTGAAACAAGTCAGTTTGTGACTTAGCTAGTGTCATTGTTTGGTTGCACCGCGTTAAGTTCATCTTAACTTATATAGCGTAACATCCTAACTAACCGAAATATTGTTGCTCAAATGATTTTTAATCTTGATGTGACCAATCAGTGGAAAGCAATTTTCCTAATGCATTGTTTGTTACAGTGCTGTTGAACAAATTAAGCGTCTCCGATATGTCAGCTTGAGCTCTGTGAAGATGTGACAGGCATTTTCTGTGATTCTCTGACATTTTGTAGAGAAAACAGGGGTCAGTGAATCTTAAGTCTGTAATTAATTATTCATGTGTTGCAACCTTACTCAGTTTATTAAGATGAAGGAACAACTTGCTTTTATTCGTGAATAAAGCAGAATTTGAACAACATGATACTTGATAACATGATAAGTCCTCAGTATGATTTTCTTTAGCTTGTTTGTATCTAGTCCTCCATGCCATCCTCATCATGGTTCAGGCCACCACTCTCAACGTAGCCTTCAACTCTCACAACAAGTCTCTGCTCACCATCATGATGTCAAATAACGTGAGTAAAGATCACACACACTCTCACACATCTAATTTTCAAATATGCAGCATGAATTCCGACGTGATATTTTGGATTCATCTTTTGCAGTTTGTGGAGATCAAAGGCAGTGTTTTCAAGAAGTTTGAAAAGAACAACCTCTTCCAGATGTCAAACAGTGGTAAGTGGATAATGATACTCCAACAAGCCCAATATGTCCAAGAAAATCAGCTCACTGTGAACATTTTGTAACTCAGCATTTGAACTTGGTGATTTGGTGGAAGGTAAAATTATGGAAATGAGCTCAGCCGCAGTGAGTACAAAGTAGGTTAATCCAGGATTGATTTATTTGTTTCCCACAGACATAAAAGAGAGGTTCACCAACTACATCCTCCTGCTCATCGTCTGTCTGAGAAACATGGAGCAGTTCTCCTGGAATCCTGGTAACTAATACAGTATTGTACCAAGAACGTAAACAATACTGACATTTAAACAGCTGTTTGTCTATATGACAGTGTGAAGATTTTATCCCACTACTGCTTATCCTCTGATCTCATCATGAGGTCTCTCGGTAAACTGTCACTGACTTTTATAGCTGTTATTACAAAGAACATTGTCACTTACATGTTTTTGATGTGTTTGTTCGTAGACCACTTGTGGGTGCTGTTTCCTGATGTCGTCATGGTGATAGCATCAGAGGTTGCGGTCGACATTGTCAAGCATGCCTTCATCACCAAATTCAACGACATCAGTGCTGATGTGAGTCCTTTTTACATACAGTTAACTGTTTATCCATTGAGATCTGCAATGTGCCTCCTGAAAAGTGTTACAAGTAAGAAAGCAATGTTTTAAATGCAGTACACCACACAGACCATACTTAATAAGACAAATAATCTTATTTGAGGTCCACTTATCAGTATTCCAGTGGAAGAATATAAATTTTGTAGTAGGTGTACATCATTAAATCTTTCAGGACTGCCTGAGACTGACTGAATAGATACATCCATTAAAGATAGCTCAATGTCTTTCCATTTAGCCTCAGGCTGGGTTACACCAACATACCAAGGGTCTCGACTGAGCCGACAGATAATAATCCTTAAGACAAGTTAGAGCCATGCCCCCCCTCTCCCCCGGCTTCTACACGCAAAATGTCTCACTCTTGACTGGCAGGTTGATCTTTTTTTTCTTGCTTTTTATATTTATTATGGCATTAGTGTTCATTTAAATTTTGACTTCACATGTCCTCTTTTAAGCATTGTTAATAGTGACACTGATAATGCCGGCAGTCAGCAAAATCTTGCTCACTGTCTGTGGGCATGATCAAGACTCTATCCCAGCAAACATGGGCAAGAAAAATCACTTTGCATACACCAGACTGATTGTGATTTATTAGATCAAGTTTGTTTTAAACCTTGCTTTGATATCAGTGAAGTCAAAAACTCAGGACAAACTAAGCAACTGGAAATTGATTTACATTGTATTCACTTCGCTTTTTTCTGTACTACTGACTTAAACTGGTCATTTTAATGTTAAACAGATTTCTCTGTTTCCTCACTCACCCACACTCGCACTAGATTCACTGTAATTTAAATAAGTAAATAGTTGAGCCATTTTTCTCTCATTTTATTACCACTTTGTTGGCTTCCAACTTCCCCCCCTTGGGATTTCTCCTCCTTTATGATTTCTTTCAACATCTTTTTTTCTTGGGTTATGTAACACAAACCAACTTCCCCACAGGAAGGGATTAACCCCTTTATCTCCAAACTGTCACATCTAATCACACAAACATCATTGACAGGTAGTAGATGTTCATACAATAGTGTACCTACGCCTAAATCTGTGTGCATGTTTTTAAACTGGCTTAATGAAAATTCTCATTTAGCTCTTGTCTCTACCAATACTGTACCCTCATGATAAATCAATACACATCACTACATAAAGGCATAAATCTAGTTATGAGGCTTAAACAGGCGGCACTTTAGGAAAGTAAATAAAGTATAGTGATACAGTACCTATTGTGATTCATATACATTCTTCTGCTATCTGAATGTCAGTTGAATAATGTGTATGATGTTTAATCTTCGTCTGATTAGTGGTGTGTTACCCTGTTATTTTCAAGGTATACGGGGAATACAGAGCGAGTCTGGCCTTTGACCTCGTCAGCAGTCGACAGAAAAATGTAAGTGAAATAAATAAGTGAAATGTAAGGAAAAGGTTTCTAGGTCTTTCCCCCTTGAGCTCGAATTCTAGACAGAGTGTCTTTATACTTCTCTTATACACTTTTTTTGTCATGATATGTTGTTTTTTCACGGCCTGGCTTATAGACTGACAAAGCAGGGAGACAATACAAGCTCTCATCACAAGAAGTACATTTATTTACATAGAAAACAAGCAAATAAACTCTACAAAGAAGAGGCCAGAGAGTCAGAGTCATAGAGCAATTGAGGGAACTAGTCTTTAAAGGCAGCGTGCAGCAGGCTCAGGTGCAGCTCAACCAGCCATTGACCCTCAAAGTAGGACCCGCCCCCTCTAACAGACGCAACCAGGGAGAGCATAGATACACTCACCCAGTGGCAAGGGGGAGGGGTCCTCACATTTTTAGTTAAATGTTAGAAATAGTGTTTCTTTAATTGAAATGTCTTGATTTGATGCATTATTGTTATCTAAATATCAATGCATTGAATTTTTCTTACATATGTCCCCAGGCTTACACAGACTACAGCGACTCTGTATCCAGAAGAATGGGCTTCATCCCGCTTCCACTAGCTCTACTGGTCTGTAACTTTATATAAAGGAAATTATATTGATGTATTTGTTCTAATTCTGCCTGTACAAACTTTACATTGGATGATGTGTTTTTGTTCCTTTTATAGTTGATCAGAGTAGTGATGAGCTCTGTGAAGATCCAGGGTTCGCTCTCTTTTATGTGTGTCCTGCTGTTTTACCTGGGGTAAATGTCAAGTTTACATTTTTGAACACACTTTGCAGCGTTAATTGTTCTTCATATCTTGTGGTTTTTAAGTATCTTTTGTTTTAATGCTGTGTATGTGTTTGTGCGCAGGATGATCACTCTGAAGGTGCTCAACAGCATTGTTCTTCTGGGGAGGTCATGTGTGTTTGTGAAAGAGGCCAACATGGAAGAAAAGCTCTTTGACCCTCCACCCTCGGCTGTTTCCAGTCGTGTAAACTCCAGAGCTCACCGCACCAAACATGTTCACATTGTACCACAACCAGGTAACCGTCAGTTTGTGTCCCTTTTTAGTCCCTAAGTGTTACACCTTTTTTTAGATGCTGATATGTCTGCAAGGCTTTCTGAGCATAAGCAGACTTATCTTTTCCTGTCAGCAGCTGTCTACTTTTCTAGCTAATTCAGTTTGCTTTAAATCCGTACATTAGTCGTAGTCTCTGAATGCCTTTCAAAATGTTTGGCAAAATCTAAGTCTAAAATATTGCACATGATGTTATCAATCATTATATTATTGTTAAAAAAAAGGAATAAAGCTGCAAGTTTCCCTCTCCACCCTTCCCACTCCATGATACTCAGAAGACAGAGAAGTAAAGACAGCAGTATTAACATACAGTATAATAATGTTGAGTGAGTTAATGCTAGTGTTACAACAAGAATAGGAGTTAAAAAAAACCCCTCTAATTTTGTTTTACAGAATCTTTATGGCCTGCGAAGCTAACATACTTGTTTATTAAAGTAAATTATAAATTACTTTGTAAAGGAAAGAGTCTTTGTTTCAAGACAAACCATGTTGTTGTTGTTGTTGTTGTTGCTGCTGCTTTTGCTGGTGTTTACATCTCCTGATATTTAACAGCACAGAGTTGCTAATGTGACCCCACTGTGATATTGTAACCTCCAGGCTCAACTTTATAAAAAAAAAAAAAAAAAAAAAAATCATTAAAAAAATACCTGGCAGTGCATGGCCTAATAGTACATCTTTTAATAAGAGGTAACCTAGAATCTCATTTAATGATTACTTAAAGTCTGACAATTCTACAGTTGCTGATGGAAAGCACTGTTTGATGGGTTATACTATTAATGAATTAAAAGGAATAGTATTAGCTCTTGGTTAAAACAGGGGAAGTCAGGGCGCTGGTTGGGCAGTGGTTAGTGCACGCCCCCATGTATGGAGGCTGTAGTCTCAAGCGGATGGGCCCGGGTTCACATCCCACCTGTGGCTTCTTCCCCGCATGTCATTCCCCACTCTCTCTCCCTGATTTCCAACTCTATCCACTGTCCTTCTATCCATTAAAGGCATAAAAAGCCCAAAAATACATCTTCAAAAAAAAACAGGGGAAGTCTTGTGTACTTACGACACTCTAGACAACAGAAATAACAATATATTTAGTTGCCATCCATCGAAAAAAAACTTAAAGGCATCTGCCATTTTTGAAAAGGCTAGTGACGTTTGATATAGAGACCTTATTGCATTATGACAAAAAAAATGTAATTTACAAGGTGAGGACTACTACAAGAGGGAGGTGTTATATTCCCATTCTAAAATGTTCAAGTTGTAGTATGTATATACTTTAAGTTCCTCTTCTGCTTATAATACATTCTGTCTATCTCTGTAGATCCCACAATCGACAAAGGTGGAATACCACTTTCATCACATACTACTCAGCCTGCCAACATGGCAGAGAGTGCCGCCCCTACGCTCCCAAAGAGCGACTCCGACACATTCCTGACCACGCCAGATGAGGAGGAAGACGAAAAAATCATCAATGTCGACACTGGACTGGAAGGAGGTGGACTTGAACCCAGAACGCCCAAGAAAGATTTGCTGGAAATAGACCGATTCACCATCTGTGGCAACCGGATAGACTGAAAGCCATATTCACAAGCAGTCAGTGTCCTGGCTAAATAGTGAGTTCGGGGTTCAGACACAGGTCACGAGCATGCTCAGACCAAACCGATTTTTTGTGCCTGACCCCTGGAGTATTTATTTATTTATTACAGACAAAACCAGCCAAGGCATTAAGCTGTTACTACAAGCCTAAAAGGCTGTTTCAGATGTTTCCATCTGTTCAAGTCAGAGCCCAGGAGCCAGGAAGACACTGAGGAAGGGTATTGTGTGTCATAACAACCTGCAGACTGCCTGATGATGAAGACTGGGGAAAAACTGGCATCCACTGCTGGAGGAGAGCACGAAGATGGATACATTTAAAGTTACATATGTGGGTCGCTGTGTGATCCAAACATCCAAAATGACAGCTGGACTGTGCAAGTGTGTGTCCTAAAGCACAATCCTGTCTACAGCGCAGAGATATTACTTGCTTTTTTTTTTTTTTTTTCTTTTTTCAGATTGACTTTTGGGCTTTTTTTCCCCTTTATTTGATAGGACAGTAGATAGGAAACCCGGCAGAGAGAGTGAGGACTGACATGCGGGAAAGGGGCCACAGGTCAAACTCGAACCTGGCCGCCCACTAGGTGGACTATAGCCTCTGTACATGTTTTGTGACCTAACCACTAGGTCATCTGCGTCCCGCAGAGTTGTTTTAAGAAAGAACAAAACTTGTCAACTTTTGTACTTTTTTATTTTCAAATCCTGAAAATGTCTTATATTTTAAATGGCGTTTTTATGAAAAATCAGGGGTTGTTTTTCCACACACAATATTTCAGCAAGCACACACTCAAAGCTCTGTTCAAGTTGAGTTATCGCAATGAGCCAAGAAGTTCAAAGCCTTTTGATATGGCAGAAATGACACAGAAAACTGTCGTATATGAGTACAAGTCATCAGTTGACATGCTCATGGGTTGGACGCAACAGTGACTTGACCTTTTTAGACAGAGGAAACAGGATGGAGATTTTAGTATTGTGAAGTTTGTGTTGCGTGGTTACCCTGAGGCACTGAGATACAATGGTGCATATGTTTTTTTAAAATGCCCTGAATTTTTTTGGAGTTTACTCAAAACAAGAACAATTTAGAAGGGTTTTATTTTTTTTCATATGCTTCACATTTACATCATTGTACAAACATGTAACCTACAGGTAATCATGGTGTGTCATCACTGTGTCCTTGGTATCACTTCAAATTTAGACTTTGTGGCACGGGCATCCACTAAACATGGTGACAATTATTTTGGAGAGCGATTTAAAGAAAAATAAGCTTACATGTATGCTGCTGTCTTTTAAGGATACGTTTGAGAAACATGAAGGAGAATTGTACCAGCACTGTGATCTTGTGAAAGCAGTAAACCCAGCTGTTTTCACATGCCAAAATCCTGTTAAATTGGAAAAATCATGTCTGATCTCAAAGATTCCCGGCATTTTTTGTTGCAGTTGGCTGCTGGCTTTGATTGTTAGAACTCTGAAAATGTAAGTTTACCAGTCAGTAAGATGCTATGAAACGGTCAGATTAATGGAGTGGATAGTATGGTGTACAGGAATTATGCATCCTGTGCAAAAACTAGTTTCAGCAGGGGCTGCATCTTTAAATATTTTCATTCATCCGTTAAGCTAAAGATTGTTAAATGGTGATTATTTTTTAATTTTCAAAGTCCAACGTGACCACTGCAAATAAGGTATTTTGCCCAACCAAGGGTCCAAAACCCCCTTAACTTTCTGTCATAAATGACAATAAAAGCTTCAGATCTTTCCATTTAAGAAGCTGAAACCGGCATATCCGACACAACCGTTTTATCTGAAAAATGACTTACACATTATATAGATAATCATTGTGTTCCTATTATTTTTCCATTAATAAAAACAATACATTGCAACTTTAGATCAACTTGGTTTTACTCAATATTTTATGCCAGTACCCTGATTGCATTCAGGACACAGCCCCACACCCTTAAAAATCATATTAGTATACATGGTTATTTTAACATTTCAAACTATTGTTCTGATGTTCAAGCAGAGTCATCAAGGACACACACACACACACACTGACAACCTTTAAGAAATTGATCTTTTTGCTGTGCATTGAGTCAATAGTCAAACCCAAGTTACAACTTTTTGTTCCCTATAGGGAGGGTAGCTCCCCCCACATTTTGTACTTTATAAACAAAACAACAGACTTTATGACGAGATGTACAGTATTTATCTATATTAATGATTGTTTTAAGTTTTTATACAAAAATGATACATTTATATTTTTCATGTGGAATGCCTAACACGTTTGAGGATGATTCATTTCAGGCTTCCTAGAAGCAGTCAGACTTGCAACTTGGAACAAAATATGTAAAACAAAAGTCTTCTTAGTGACAGCAGCATAGGATCAAAACAACCTGCAACCACACACACACACATATGTACACACACACTTTCTATCACTCCTCCTCACTCTTTTACATCTTCTGCAAGGAAATAGTGGTTCAAAAAAAGGCCGGGGACAAGACACTGCTAATGTTATTGAATAATACATGAGACCTTACTGTCAAAAGGAAGGTAAATAACAGCCTTTTTTGAGGGAAGGATTGAAGAGTGTGGATTCATCATGGCAGTGTGTTTATATGCTTGTGTAAAAATGTGTGTGAGAGTTAATCTGCTCTGCATGGATGAATCTCACAACCAAAAGTCATTCTACATGTACTGTATACATCTGATTTTTCCCTCCCTTGTTTTTTTTTTTCATGTGCAACCCATCTATGTAATACATCTCCTACATGACAGAGGGAGAATAAAACAAGGTATCTGTTTTGTAACCCGCTTTGGTGTGATTTGACTATCTTACACAGCTTGCATGTACGATGTGTGTGTGTGTGTGTGTGTGTGTTAGCATAGAGGCGGGTGTTTTACTGAATGGAGTCACTGCTGTCTCTGTTCACAGGGGCAAACACTGCAGACCACTGTTCCCCTTGAATGGGCATTTGGAGGGGGTGTCTGTCATCACAAACACAGGGGGACTTTTCCAGGGTCCAACACTGGAAAAAAAAATGGTTTGCTTCTGGACACATGCTTAATGTTTTTTAATCACCCTACGTATCTCACATTTACAAGTTGTAGTGTCATGTATCATGCAAAGTGACTGCATGCCATGTGAGAGAGGATGAAAGAGAGTGCTGAAGTGAAAGACTTCAAAGCTGTTTTCAAACACTTGCACAACTTATCCAGGCTGTAACTGAACTTTGGGTTTTCCCTCTTCTGAACTCGAACCTTCTGTGCTTTCCAACATTTCACTGACCACCTATCTGATCAACCTCCAAGCTGAAGGTCAGCTGCTCAGGGATCACAAATAGAAATCCTTTATTGACAATGTTAAAGCTACTGTGAGAAACTTGGTTTGTGCCCGAATTTAAGCTCATGGACAAAAAAATTATGTTTAGTCTCTTTGTTTCACAGCAGGTTTACGTCTATTCATAAAAGGATGTACAAGTAGACTACCTAGAGTAAAAGTATATTTTTAAAAAATATATATTTTGTCCTAATACTGTCCCGCATTCAGGTCGATCATTTTGTATTATTTTATAGCCTATAAATCTGCAAGAAATTATTTTCAGTGTATGAGTTAATCTCTTGATTGGATGATTGTCTTATTTAGATTCTATTTTGTTTTGTCCCTTTGTCCAATATTGATTTAGTAAAACATATTTTTTGATATAGGCTAAACTAAAGGAAAACACACAAAAACTCATCCTATAAGGAAATCCGATTTCAACAGATTATTTTGTAGCCTATTTTTAAAAGACAGATCAAAAGTTAAGCAAAATCTTTCAGTTGACTTTGAAATGAATGCGATGGAGATTAAAAAATACATTACATTTGAGTGATGAGTTAAGTTGGCCCTGAGTGTAAACATTACCTGTGCTGTATAGCTGCTGGAGAAAGAGGGGAATTGAACCCTGCTGTGTGTCGCGCGCGCACGCTGCAGAATTGGTCACGAGCGCTTTGGAGTTTTTGCGTGCACGCGAGATTAAGGCAAGCTGCCGGCCGGTGAGAGAGTGAGTAAGGACACCGGAATAACGGGAACATCCTCGGCCGTCGGTCCTCCGAGCTGCTGACTTTACTCCAGGACGATGATGTGTTTAAAGAGTGCGTTCCGACAAAACAGGAGCTAACCTCTACCAGGTTTTGGACCGCTGGATGTTACTTTTAAAAGATTTATTTCGGACTGTCGTCTCTGTGCTGGCTGCGAGGATTAAAGCACCGTGAGGGACAGGTGTCTCATCTTCCCCCCCCCCCTCCTCCCCCCTCCTCCAACCTCCCTCTATAGCCTACTGTAGTGCGAGCCGGGCTGGGAGCTTTCTTTCCCTGTTGTCTATCTTTTTTCTTTTTCAGTTCGAAGCTCAGACTTTTCTGAGACATGTTGTGGACAAGGTGGCTCGTCCTGCTGCTCTGCTGGGGGGCCACAAGCACCGAGCAGCGGGCGGAAAGAGGGACGGGGCCCCTGCTGTGGTCCGGCAAGACTCTCGCAGGCAGCGGTCGCCTCCACCTGTGGAACCGTTGGATTTTGGGTTTGTACCTGCTGCGGTGTATGATACCCACGCATACCACGAGCAAGGACCTGTGGGTATCCTCTTCAACATCGTCCATGCGTTTCTCTACGTCGTTCAACCCAACTCCTTTCCTAAAGGTGAGAAGATAATCGCGCCCCCCCCCACACACACACACACCCCAACCAACCCCTCCTCTACATTAATGCTCTTCTTTCTGCATCTCACTCTATTTATAGTTCCTCTTGCGAACATGAAAAATGTCAGGGATGCACTTTTTACTTTGCACATATAGGTCATTCATTATTACCATCAAATAGTCGTAAGCATTTGAATGTTCAGAAGGCCTACGTGAGTAACAGGTGTTAGGATACTCTTAATTCTTCACCCAATGGATTCAGTGACCTTTATGAATTTTTACTTTATGTCCCTGCAGATGTTTTTTTTAATGGCCATACTCTGTGTACTGGGATGAATGTTCAAGAACCACAGCATTAAGATTAAAATTAAGATGATAATCTCAGATAAATTAAAGTAAAATAGAATTTAAGAACTAAGTACAGAATTATTCCTACATGATATCTGCCACTTTGTGATAATAATTCGTTTAACACTACATTTATTTTAACATAATAATAGTAAAAAAAAATAAAAAATGTTTACAACCATTCCCAGAGACCAAAGTGAGGTACTTCAATTTCTGAAGAAAAGACTCTTATTTACATTCATGAACTACAATGAAAAGTAACAAATACATTTTGGCTAAAGACATGCTGAAACGTGTAATCAAATAAAAAGGACCATTTTTTTTTTTTTTTGATTAATCTATTGTCAAATTGACAGTTCCTAATCCTTTGCTGCTGTTGTGGGATTGAGTAGAAATTTAAATCACGATAATGAAAGAATAAATACGATATATCAACGCTAGGAGCTGTACTACTTTCACATATTAAAATGCAGGAAAAAGTAATTAACAACAGTGAATTGATTTAAGGTAAACAATAATGGAAAGTGAAAATATCTTTGTCAGAGTAAGGTTTGTAAAAGTTTTTAGATGGTAGCTGTAACTAGCAGAACTTGTATTCCTTCTATCACAGCACATGTTAGTATTTTCAACCTTTAGTATTTTACTTTGAGCTTTAAAAGGTTCTCAACCTGATACCCAACTAAGGGGGTCCCAAGATAAAACGAAGAGGGTAACAAACAATTCAAGACATAACAAAGACAGATGTGTATAACTATCACTGTGAGTTATTTTTCTGACCTTTTCTTTCTCAATTTGTTTCAATTATTCGTTAAATGATGCATCTAAATGTCCCAAAAAATGTTGTATGAAACAATTCATGAAGAAAAAGTATGCCAACAGCTCACAGCTCTGTATCAGCACTGAGCCGGAGCCCAGAACTTGTACTGAGGTTTCACAAGTTCCCTTCGCTTTGTTCTAAGGGGTCAAAATCTCATAAGGTTACAAACCACTGGCCTCATCATCAGAGGCTCTGGCTGACCTTTTGTACGTCTAAACTAAACAGCAAAGTCCAAAAACATTCAAAACATGAGAGAGCTCTATGGCACGAGTTGTTTGCACGTTGATAATGTTTTTATATGCTCTTTTTGAATGTCTGACTTGTTGCACGACTTCTACAAAAAAACACTATACGTGGCTGCCTGTGATTAAAATGCTACAGGCTCAGAAGAGCACAAGCACAGAGTGAAGGGCTTGCATGCTTTAACTTTGTGCCTGTTGAGCTCATAAACCAATGTTAAGATCAGATTAATAGAATCAATAGCTGCTATAGCTCATAAGTGATCCTCTCAGGGCCTGTGCTTTAACAATATTGAATAGTGATCATAGCTGTTGCTTGATCAATATAAAAATAGTGACTTCTATTTTCTGCCCCTCTGGGGTTGTTTAGTAACCCAGTGATGGCTATATAGAGCTACAACCAACTCCAAGTGTGTTTATGTGCTATGAGTGGTCACGTTGGAGGATGACACGCTGCAATAGGATTGAAGGTTTTAAGTTGCTGCCATTTCGGTGTCCAGGGTTGTGCTGCTGGCTGGCTAATCAATTAGCAGATCAGCGATTAGAGGAGGCTTTCTCAGTCACCTGCATCACCACATAATACCTTAATCCAAAGGACCATATGCTCCTGCTGCAAGGGACTTTCCACTATCATCACAGTGTCACACACACACAGGTGGGTACCACCTGAATGGAGCTTGTGCACTCCTAAATCACAGATCATATCTACTCCAAACAATACTTACGACTCGAACATTCAAAAAATGTGGTTATTATATTAATGAAAACTTTATAGCACTTCACATGCACTGTTAAATGTACATAATAGAAAATGACAGATTAATGCAAGATGACAGCTCACATTCAACCAATATTGTTACAAAGAAAGCAAGAACATGAAGAGATAGAATAGAACCAAAGGAAACCCGTCTGATACCCCCCCCAAGTTCTTCTTCTTCTTCTCCTGCGTCCTTGGCCACCAAACAACAGCTGTATGGTTTTAGTAGACAATTTATCATTAGTAAGAGTAAGCGAAATGTCAGCAACTTGACAAGATTTTTCACTTGAAAATCCCCCCATAAAAAAAAGAATGTATCTGGTATGTCAAACTTCAAATTTATGGGGTCACCAAACAGGGTAAGCAGTGTTGGCATACATCTAATTACAGTATTTGCATTTTGTAAGGCGTGGAAATTGCTTAGTATTGTCCCAAAAATAGTTCAGGTATCAGAATTGGTGTCCGGCAGAAAAAAAAGGCATCGTAACATCTTTCAGTTCAAACTTTAGTCTGATGAGTTGTGATTTAGAAGCTACGCCAAACTCAGGACTAAAATCGATTCTCAGTGAATGTTACTTTAAAGGAAGTTCATAAAGTTCATAAATAATCATGCTTTGAGAATTAATAATCCGGTGACTGCATGTTGGACAACCTGAATCCATGTAATCTCTGTTTTTTGTTTGTGGCTTGTGAACTCTACATCACATTAACCCAGAAGAAAGGTGATAAAAACATGAATAACTCTAAAAAAAGATATTTAAATTAAATCAAAGATGTAACTCAGGTTTTTTTTTTTTGCAAATAAAACATAAAGCTGTAAGTGTGCACATAACGGCAGCTTCAAGACCGGTGATCCATCAAGACCTCACAATAACACAGCTAGTTCAGAGGAAAAGGGCCAGGAAAAGGACACCTACCCTGAGGTTAATCACAGTTCACTCAAGAGTCCAAGGTTTAGCAAGTTCAGGTTTACCATGGTGCTCCCTAAACTGCCAGGTCCTCTGAGTCATGAATCATTTTTAATCACATTACCGATAAACGCAGAGTCAATCAAAGACTGTGTTTGTGTTTGTGCAGGTCACGAACACAAACAAGTGTTGTAGAATAACAAGTTTGAAACAGTTTGTCATTATATTCAGTCGTTGGGCCAAAACCTCTAAAAAAAAGTAGCCAAGTCCTTCATCATAACTAAAACGCTACAATGAACGTCAATGTTACAATCTTAAAGATATGAGTTTGGTACAGCTTTAAGCGGTAATTGCAGATTTGATTTGGGACCTTATCCACTCATTCTCGATGGATCCAACCACTGTCACCTGTGTCAGGTCAGACAGTTGTCAGTTAGATCAGTGATCTTTTATTTCTTTGTTTTAGTAATCCTGTTCACTCCATGGATGCCTAATGAGACCCAATCAGAGGCAAGCAGAGAATTAAAGCAGTTTGACGCCAACTCACAGACAAGTGTGGTGAAGTGCACCTCTGTTGTGTTGTCTCAGCCTACTCTCAGCCGCTGCTCGGTCACTTATTGTGCACCACAGGTTATTTTGGGTGAGAGAGCAACACAACAACCCAGGCCTCGGTTTTTCTTAAATCTAATCACTGGGCCATAGTATCAACCACATAAAGTATGAAAAAAGAAGACATTTATGTGGCTAAATATTTGAAATGTTGTCTTAAGAAGAAGATACATCCACACATAATGATCCTGGAGCAAGCAAAAGTTGAAACATGGCAGAATTAACTTACTGATTACATTTATTTAAACATTTGCTTTTCCTGAAAATGGTTTTCTCTCCTTGATTCTATAGCTGCTTCTGTTCAATACAAGCGCATCATTACACTTCTTAAAAAAAGACCCAGGCTTCCCTGGTGTTTCCTGAGGTTGAATGAAGTTGAGGCTGGGGGCTCTAGTAAGGTTATTATTAGCTAGGGCAGAGGGGATTGTGGTCAGGGCAAAGGCTGGGTTAATGTTAGGGACACTGTGGAACTGAAGTTAATTGAGTAGACTTAAGAGATCAGGTGGATTGTTGAGGTTGAACAATCTCATAACACTTAACCATTTATTAATCGGGCACGTCGCGTAGTCAGAGGCAAATTCCTCCACAAACCATTGTACTATTCATTTTGTTTAATTGTTATGCTGTCAGGTAAAAGCTTAGTTAAATACGCACAGTCAACACAATGTATGTTTCCAAGAGCTGTAAACATAATAACAGCAACAAACCACAATGACAAATCTAAATAATGATTTACAGTATCTTAAACAGATATAAATAAGGTCAAATACTTAAAATAGAGCCGATTTGTGGTAAAATACAACAACAGCTACGGGGTCATCGCTGGTTCCTTCTTCTTAAATCTGTGTGAAAGTTTCTTTTACGATGCATTTTGGACTCTTTCACTGTGTGAGGAGGCAGTGTCTTACCACTCTGGTACACACAGGGTAGATTAGAGGATTAGCATCCACGGGGCTAATGCTAACACTACACAAGCTACAACTGCTACAGATGGCATTGTCACACACACACACACACACACACACACACACACACACACACATAAACACATATGCAAGCACAGTCAGGCGCACACACACACAAACATGCACAGAAAGTGGGTCATAGTCCTGGTGTAGTCTGTCGCCTTAATTACTGTGATTGGTCGTAGACAAGTTGTTTATCAGTTAACAGACATTTTGAATAAGATCAGACTCAAGAGAAAGACAAATCAGTGGTCTGATGGGGATAATTAAGACAAGGGAGAGATCACTGCCTTTTGAAAGTTGTCGTTTTGTGTTTATCCTTTTAAATCTGCCCGAACACACAGAGGAAAGCACTGTGCTGCTGTGTATCACATCTGTATCTTACAGCAACCAGCTACAAGTCTTGTAATTGTATTATTAGATTAAAGAGTAACTCTTGCTGTGGTTTTTGTGGACAAAAAGACAACATTTGCTGATGTCTGTCTTCACACATAGATACTGTTTCTAAGACTTTAAACTGAAAATTGAAACCCGTTTTTATGTATTCGTTGTTTAAACATTTAATCAAAAATGAAAAAAAAAAAAAATCTGCTTCCTGCTTCTCTTATTTTTTCCAATGTTTTAATTCTTATTGATGTCAACTAAATATACAACAATCACTATCGTCTAAGATTGAATTTCCCCTTGCGGGATTAATAAAGTATATCTTCTTCTATTCTGTAGACCAGATTGAATCAAGGGAATGATAATTAGGTAATTGTTATTGAAAACATGTGTTTTGTTTAATCTTATCTTAAAATATTTTGTCTCATTGTTAGTTTCATAAAGTGTCCGTTGCAAACGCTAGAAAAAGATACTCCACATAATCCTCTTAGTTGTTTGCTCTCCTTTACAGTGGGCTGTGTCACTTATTTTAGCCCCTGTTTCCAGTCATATACAAACTGTGGAGTATCACTGTACCGTCTTATTTAAAGTTCTACATAATTGTGCCTTGAAATACTCGACATGACTTCGGTCAAAGCTCCTAATGCAACCCTCACCATTCTCACTTCTATCTACATTGTGGCTTGTTGTTAAAAAAAAAAAAAATGCTGTTTCAGAGCCACATTGAAACTATTAGGACAATGTCAATCCACATGCTGTGTCATGGCAACTTTAAGTTTTCTTTTGTTTTGTATTGTTTATGGGAGGGGGAGGGGGGCATTTGCCTTCACTAGATTGGACAGCTGGACAGAGACAGAAAACGTGGGGACTGGGAGTGGAAACCAGTGCCTGATGCTTTGAGGACTTTGTCTCCGGGGTGCCTGCTTAACTTTATTTTTAACTTACCGACAGCTTTAGAAACCGACCGTCCAACACTCAATGATTGATTTTCTTGGTTATAATGTAGTAGCCCAAGTAATTGAAGTTGTAACATATTGAATCAATAAATAAAAAAAATCGAAATTGATCAAAAAGTGAACTTCTATTTATATCTTGGTTTAAGTTCCCCTTGTTGTTGCACCATGAAGGCGAACATGTTAGCTAATGTACTGGCATTTTTCCAGACTGTCACTGTTCTGTTTGTACCAGCGTCAGACTGTTATATTACTCTAAAGAAGACCCTAAAATGTGACAAGTAATGAGATGGTTATGGGTTTGCGTAAGGATATGTTCACACCTTCCTGTAATCTCTGAGAGCTGTTCAGCATATAGGATATGTCTATATTTACACTTTACGGGAAGAGGGCTGTACGTTCTGACTTAAACATCTTAACAGATAACTAGCAGCAGTGTGTGATGTTGACATTTCTAACTCCCATCAGGCTCAATCTATTTTTAAATTCCCTTTATTTAACTTGAGTTAAGCACTTTTGGTCCATAAGTCAAACTAGGGTCTCTTTAAGCACTGTTGAGTCTAAAGATAACAACACAACATGTTTGTTTACTACAACTCTGCTGACATTGCTGGTTAATCAAAGGTAGCTCTTCACAAAACACAAAGTCACAAAGGCCATATTTGAGTGTACATTTTCTCTCGCAGACCCATGGCTTTTAGTTAGGCAGTGGTCTCTTCATCCGTACAGGTCTAGTTCTAATGGTTGTTTATCCCCCCCCCCCTCTTCCTTTCATTTGCTGGAGACAACTCTTATACTGGGTCACTGAAATAAGCTGTCTTAGCTTAACTGCCCTCTGTGGCTAATGCTAACTAAGTAGATGAGCAGCAGGTGGCATCTGCACGACTCAGATGTGCGCATATAGTGCATCTGCAGAGTAAATAAAGATAGACGTCTTTACCCTTAAATGACAGTCTGGGGTCTCCTTCAGGTAAACACGTTTCATGAACAGTTGGTAAACATCCGAGAAAAGATAAGGCAGCTGACTATCGGCAGACGGGGAAGATGGTGTTGAGAGGATTATCCATATGGCCACAAAGGATAACCAAAGTCTCCTTTTACTCAGCAGAAAGACATTTTTACTTTCACCAGTAATGGGAAAGGGGAATGTATAGACTTCACTTTATTAAAAGGTTTGGTTGTTTTACAACCAATCATAAAAATCAGATCCATCAACCTGGAATACTGTGGCTACTACATTACAAATGACTACTTTTTTGGTTTTCTTTTTACGTAGAAATCAAGCCACAACTAACTGTTCCACTATTTGTTGAAGGATTTGATTTAATTTTCATTTTAAATTTGATTATTAGCTGCTTTTCTTTGCCAACGACCATCGAAAACAAGATGCCAGACCAGTTTAAAGTTGCCTCACTGGTCCATGCAGATTAACATGGGATGTGCCATGTGTGTAACCAGCTATGTCAGCATGTACATACTTAACTTGCTTCCATCTGCTTGTTGTGTGCAGTGTCACCTCTTGTGCCAACCAAGACCTGCTTCAATACACCTCTGCTATGTAAAGTGTGAATGTGTATGAATGGTAGATGTGACCTGCGGTTTAAAGAGCACTGAGTAGTCTGTACTGTACAAGTTTAAGTCCATTTAGCTTTATTTATGCAGCTTTAAGTAAGTCCAAGCTACATTTTTCATACTATGGTTGTTGATGTGGTGAAAGAGGTACTCAGATGTTTTTGTCAAGTATAAGAAGCAACAAAACTTTGTTGTAAATATCGGTTACAAGTAATTTATAATAGCAGAATTGCCATATTGAGAAAAATTAATATTACACTATCACATCATGATTAACGGTGAATTAATGACAACTCCAAGAAGTAATTAAATCACCATGACTGTAGCTGCTAAGGGCTAAATCTAATGTTATCAACTTTATATACTGATTTGAAGTTTGATCTATCATGAGACTTAATTTTTGTTAATTCTTGTTGTATTTAATATAAAACGTCTGTTTTAAACTAAAATGTCATAACACATCTGTAGAAAGAAATCAGTAACTTAAGCTGTAAACTTGAATGAAGTAAACAGTACAATATTTTTAATTACAGCAGTAGAATTATAAGCACAAAAAATAGCTAAAGTGAAGCAGAATACTATGCAATTCCACTTCATAACATTGCGTAATTAAATTCACTGTAATACATGACATCCCTGCTTTGAGTACACAGACTTCTTGTTTCTTTAAGCTTTTAATTGAAGGACATCTGTGTACCATGTATGTTGCAACAAGTGTTTAAATATACCTATGTACTCAGCACATGTGGGTTTGTTTTCTTGGCACATATACAAGTAATGTGTGTTGTTACAGGAACCAATGTTTACCTGCTTAGGAATTTAACAGTGTGGATGAGTCAACATCCAGGTAGGCTTAGTGTTGGCTGACCCATATATACACAGACAGCTGGACTGAGCTGCATCCTCACAGGCAATCTACACGGTTCAAACAAATGGGGAATGCCAGACAAATGAGGAGATGCATTTGTAATATTGTTCTCGGAAATAAAAAAAATCAGTATGCATAATCTGTTTGTGTGCCTGGGAAAAAGATAAATCGATTTTTGTACGTCAGTGTATCAGCTTGTCAAAAACTGTACAGGAAACGTTCTTGATTATGAATGAAATTGGCAGATGATTCCCCTACAAGCTGTGCACTGCATGTAAAACACAGCTGTACACGGGATTACAATTCTGCATGACAATGTTTGCAAACTAAAAACGCTTGCTGACTTAGTATCTGTCCGTTTTTTTTTTTTTTTTTTCAGATCTGATTGTGAAAGTTATACAACAAAACATGGGGGGAATCAAAATAGAAGAATGGAGAAAGGTATGTTTTCAAAGACGACTGAGAATACATTTCTAATGTAATGCTATGTGAACATTTTCCATGAATTATGAATTGTTACTATACATGTGAAATGTATATGTAGCTTCATAAATTGAATCAAAGATTGTCTCATAGTTAAGTGATGTTTGGCCTCCTGTGGCTTGAGGAGGGTTTAATGTGTGAAAACTTACAGCCACTCCCAATTTGAGACGGCTTCACATTGTCATAAAAACATGCAGTTGTTTTTACTAAGACTGTGTTCTTGCAAAATCTGTTTGCCATCGAAAGATTATTATATAATATATGAAGCCTTATTACTGTACTTTTATAAGGTGTCCAGTATTTAAACTTGTAAATGCATCAATTACAATCAGATAATATCATACTTACTGTAATGATATCACAGTGTTTTGATTACAATTAATACCTTTTTCCCTTTTTAGAAATGTGAGTTTCTACTTTCTGCTTCTTTCTGATCACTTGGCTGTAACACTGATCACTTTTTGGTTTTTGTTGTTCCCTTTCTTCTGCTTTGTGTGTTTGCACGTGCACTTGTTTTTGCTGCCTCCATCGCTGGCTATCACAGCCCGACAATGTGGTCCTGTTACTGCAGGTAAACTTTCTGCGCTAACAGAGTGCTGAAATCCCACATAATAACACAGAAAATTGTCCCAGAAATGATTGAATGAGGGGGGAAATGATTATGTGTGAATCTTGTCTCCTGCAGTGGATCTACTATGAGTCTGGGTTCCTCATATGTGGCACCATAGGTATCCTATTCGTGGTCCTCATGCCCATCATAGGCATGTGGTTCTGTGTGTGTCGCTGCTGTGAGAACTGCGGAGGGGAAATGCACCAAAGACAGAGAAAGAATGCTGACTGTCAGAGAGGTTTCTACACCGCATCGCTCGTCTGCACCTCTATCTTCATAATGTAAGTTGTTTTCTTCTCCTACTTCTGGGTCCTCATCATCTTATTTTTTTTTTTTTTCACCAGAGTATTAAGGTATAATACGTGTGTTTCTGTTGTTACTGTATGCACCCCAGTTTGGAAGGTGTGTCACTGTAGCTGTAGAGGTTTTACTGCTGCAAAAGGTTTTGGATTAACTGCTCTGGATACTGACAATACTTTGGCCCTCAATATGGATACATTTTTCAGAAAAAAACTGGAAAGGAAGCATATTCTGTAAAACTAAAAGTCATAGATCCCAAAGCAACCAGTAATCAAATGTTTTTAAAATCTTAACCCAGCCCGACCTGCTTGAAGTGACTTTTTATGGGCTTAGAGGTTATATATCATCAATCACAACATCCCTCAGTGAGTCCAGCCAGTGAGCTGCGTTGTCTCTTCTCTTCTTCAACTTTCCCCCCTGTCATTACATAATATCTCTATGAATGACAATTAAGTGAAGAATTAACTATGAAAGTAAAGTCACTATCATGTATCATTTCAGTCAGACGCCAACAACAGTTTATTCACTAACCACTCAAAGTTTGGAAACGACAAAAACAGCAAGTATCGAAAATAATTGGGGGAGTGATCTACAGCCTCTTAAACTTGTACAACATGCAGTTTACCTGCTGTGGGGTAGACAGGTGCACCGTCGGAGAAATACAATCCAAACTGTGCAGGACAGTTAAGTGTTACTGATACCACTTGGCTGACTCTGAGAGGCCTCTCTGTCTGAATGAGTGCTTTCAAGGCCCACATATTGCTTGCTCATTCACACACACACACACAGAAACATACACACATGCATACATTTAGCTCTCATCAGCTTTTTGGGGATGTGGAGGTATCATCTGATCAGGGTTGATTATTACTCGTTGTTCTATAGTTCACTCAGGAGGTTCTTTTTTCCCTTACTGACATTTAGTCAGTTCAGTGCTCGGGGCATTTGGCAAGACAATCTAAATATCTTTAGATGGTTGAAATAATGTGGTTATTACCATTAATTCTTTGTCAAAGCTCAGGAAAGCAATAACAGAAGCATAGCCGATCGAATGATGACACAAAAGGTACAACATTTATTTGACAAACTTGAAGGTAAGCTAGTTGTAGAGGTTTCGAAAACATCTTTTAAAATCGTTACTGATCTAACAAAAAATTACAACTAAGCTCTCTCACATCAGAAATGTGAAGAAACTAAAGAATCCTGCACATCGTCCCTCACAGTCTCAACTTTCATTGATTGAAACAGATCAAAAATGCACGACTCTATTTCTGTCACACAACTGTTGGCATTTGGATCAAACATGTGAGCGGTTTTTAATGACAGATTAGAGGTTGGATTTAGTTCATAGCCAGCACAGAGACAGACAGAAAGCTGCTACCATGTTACATTTTTAGGCCGGCCTTTGTTAAAATCCTCACTTTAAGGAAGAGTGTATACAGTAAATAAAAAAAAAAGACTAACTTGACTCCTCCAACTGAGTGAGAGATGTGACTTTGTAGACTGCTCACAAGTCTCTGAGTGACTGCTGAAGCTGAAGCCCTTTCAGCAGAAATACAGTTTAATGATGCTATGCTGCCCTCTGCTGGTCCACAGTGTTTATTGTGATTTTTTTGCTTGACTGATCCTTAGTATATGTGGGTGTTTATGTGTGTTTCAGTGTGGGAGTACTTATTGCCTATGCTGCAAACCATAATATCAGCATCAAGATAAAGAACACACGGCGGTTCATCAACACCAATATGAGAGACCTGAAGACGTTTGCTAACAACACACCTGCTGTAAGCCCTCTCACACGATCACACACACACACCCTTGAGTTTAACACAAACAACACAGTTGAAGTTTTTATTTTGTACTGTGTTAAATTAACATGTATGTTTGTTTTTTTTTCGGCAGCAAATTGAATATCTGACAGGCCAGTACACCACGGCAAAACACAAAGTCCTGTCAGACCTTGACAGTAAGTCATCTCAGCGTGTTCACAGTTTTAGTTCAATGTTTCTCACTTGTGTTAGTGGCTGCCTGAGTTTGCCTCCACAACGTATAAATGTCGTTTTGTGATTCGTCTGTTGTTTTCTGACAGACATTGGGCCTTTGCTGGGCGGTAGGATCCAAAGTCAGCTGGAGAAAGAGGTGGTTCCCTCTCTGGACACTGCGCTGCGTATGGCAGGAGGTAAAACACATCCCTCTGTATTACCTCTTATATCACTTTTATTTTTCAGTCCAAACACTTGAAACATAGCACTGAAGCTGCTGAGCTGAAACAATCAACCGGTTCTGTCAACACATGTAATTGGTGATTTATTTTTCATTTTGAAATCAAGCATTAACCTCTTCAACCATTTATTGTTCTTATTCCAATAAAAGACAACCCCTCAATACTTCAATAAAACTCTGTTGTTTTCTAAATATCTGTCTTTTTTTTATTGTTGCAATACATAAAGTGGCGAGATAAATGACCTTGCAGTTTAATCACTTTAATTTCCTGGTGTTTCGCTTCAGGGCTTATCTTCACCATTTATAATCCCTTTTTATTTTGCTCTGTTTCCCTCACATTTCATCTTTATTTAAGCAAAAGTTGAAAATGCCATCAAAGGTAATCAGAGTTGACATGGATTCATTATTTGCAGTGCTTGTGACTCGTTAGTGCATTGTGTATGTTACAGAAACTATAGATCCTGATCCTCCACCACTGTCGTTACCTGTAAAACGTCTTCTATTGTGGTTTTTCCTCTGTGGACTGTTGACCTGTGGTCAGTGTAATCAGTGTTGTTTTTATAATCTGTGAAGTCCTGTGGTGATTTGTAAATTGTGAATGTATGTTTATACAGCGTAACTCCTATGAGGATCACCAGATTTACGCTTATGGTTTAACTTCGTTGGACTTTGATCGTTCCTCTTTGTCCTGTAGCCATGCGGGAGACCAAGGAAGCCCTAGAGAACGTCAGCTCCTCCTTGGAGGTCCTTCAGGAGGGTACAGGGAAACTTCAAGCCAGTCTTTCAGGCGAGCGGGCCTCTCTCTCGAACACCCTGTCAGATCCTGCCTGCACTAATGGAGCTGTGTCTCACACCTGTAACACCATCCGTTCCACACTGTCCCAACTGGGTGTCAATGCTGATTACTCCAAGGTACCAAGAAACTCAAGATGGCCGCCTGGCATATGAATGGTGATGACAACCTGAAAATAATTGTAACAAGTATTTTAATATCTTACTATTTACATGTACTTCCCTCTTTCAGCTTGCAGATGTCAGTCATGCCTTGACTAACATCAATGTAATCCTGAAAACAGACCTCAGCAATATAGTACAAAAGGTTAGTGTCTGTGTACATCTCATCATTGCCTCGATTACCACGTTCTTTTTCACCCATCATTTTCCTACCAAACATCCTCGATCTTTAATTCAATTCTCTTTTCTCTCCTACTTTTGGTTTCCAGGGTTACTCGTCCTTCAATGATACACCAAAACTGGTTAAAGAGCAAACCAAAAACATTGTCTCAGGTACACAAGCATGTGTGTTTGTATGCATGTTAGCTTGCATGATTAATCCAGCTCTCCCCCCCCCCCCCCCCCCCCCTCTTTACACATTATATTATATCTACTGTGACTTCTCTTAATTTGTCTCATCTTACTTTCAACTGCTTTCTTTTGAATGATAAAAACCACAGCTCTACCTCGTAAGTATTTGTTTTCTTATTAGGTCAAATGATCCCCGCCTCCCCTCTGAGTTGTCAGGTGTGAGTTTTTTTCTTCCATTTGATTTTTTGTCTTTTTGTTTGTAGGAGTTAAAAACATGTTGGATAAGATAGGAGCAGAGATTATCGGCTTCGCCAAGATGTTTCCAGTGGAAGCCTCTCTGGTCAATTTCACCATTTTCCTCACCCAAGGACAGAAAGACATTGAGTCCTATTACCCACAGATTGACCAAATGGATTTCTACAGGTTTGTCTTTTTGCTACTCAGGTTAGGGCACAAACATCTCTCACATTGTATGAGAAAACTTCCAAAATGGGAGTTATTCAAGACCTGGTTTCAGGCTAAAAGCAGATGTTATCAAGGGAAGAAAGATGTTTGCTCCCAAATAATTATCACCCAACCCTCCTCTCAACTTTATTACAAGGCTCAGCTCTTTGTTTAACTGTTTCAGCAGAAACAGATAGCAGAAATAAATGTTAAACAATCAGTAAACTTATGGAAGCATTTAGAAACCAAACAGATTGACATTGATCATTTCCTCCAGAAGTGTGTGGCAAAACAGAGCATTTTTTTTTTTAGCATAGCAGTTAGTTTCAGCCCCCCATGTACAGATGCGGTTGTCCCGGAAGCCCTCCTCACAAACATGTGTGTCTGTGCTGCAGGTGGATTGGCTGTGTGGCGGTACTCTGTACGGTAGTCCTGGTTGTGGCCTTCAACATCCTCGGGCTGCTGTGTGGCACCTGTGGCTACGACAAGCAAGCTACACCAACAACCCGGGGCTGCTTATCAAACACTGGCGGCAACCTGCTGATGGCGTACGTTACCAAGACAAAACTCCAAAAATCATTTTAACCTTTCATAACATACATTTTCACTTGTATTGAAGGTGTAAGTCATAATACATATATTAATTTCAATCCATTTTCGTGGGCCCATACAGGGTCTTGATCAGATTATTAGAAAATAAATTGAATGAAGATGTTGTCATGTATGATGGAAAGCGGTAACTAAAGAATGACGGATGCTTTTGTGTGACAATGTTTCCCAAATTGGGTGTCTTTCTCTCTCAGCGGGGTTGGTTTCTCCTTTATCTTTGCCTGGGCGCTGATGGGCATCGTGACCACCTTGTTTGTAGTCAGTGGCAACGTGGAGAAGCTGATTTGTGAACCTCTAGCTAACCGACAGCTATTCCAGGTACTGAATGCACACTCAACTCCTTCCTGAATAGTTCTCTCTCTGGCCCTCTCAGTGTTTATCTTGGAGAGAGTTTTATCTGAGCGAGAGAGTGTTACGTCAAATACAACACTGTGGCCCTGTGCTAATGTGTGTGTGTGTGTATGTGTGTTTGTAGATCATAGACACACCATACCTGGTTCATCCTGCCAAGAAGAACTTCCTCCCCGGGATGCTGTTCCAGAATGAGAACATTGACTTGACGTTGGGGAGCATGTACAGGTAACATGATAACAGCTGATTTGCAACAGATTATTTTTTTAAGCCTGATTTATTCATTTGCATAACAAAAAGATGTATTGGTATCTGATCCAAGAAGAAAATGATAAAAAATTTAAAAAAAGAATAATAAAAAAAATTTAATAAAAAGATTCTGGTTTAAGACGTTGTTGAGAATCGCTTGGAAAACAAGGGGCTTATTTTTCTTTAGATTAAAATAAAAGGATAAACTGTTGTTTTTTGCTGTAATATGTTTTTAATAAAATGTTTTCACCATGTTTTTTTTTTTTACTCTTTGATGTTTATAATAAATACCATGCAATCTCTTAAACAGTGTGCTATAGATCAACACATGCATTTGCACTGGATAAGTCATTGATTGACCATGTTTCTCTCGTAGGGACTGCTTCGAGAACAATGGTCTGTACCACGCTCTGCAGCTGGAGACGATGTTCAACATCAACTCCTTCCTCAACAGATCGGTGGTAAGTGTCAGTTTGAGCACTGATTCTTTTGAGCAGAAAAATCTGACAACCTGGTGACCTGTGAGTTGGTACGTGTTTTACACCGGCTCCCTGTCTCTAAAAGAATAGATTTTAAAATACTCCTGCTGGTCTATAAAGGTCTGAATAGCATAGGGCCAAAATACATTTCTTGGGGCGGCTGTGGCTCAGGTGATTGAGTCGGTCGTCTCTCAACCGGAAGGATGGGGGTTCAATCCCCAGTTTCTGCAGGCACATGCCCAATGTGTCCTTTGGCAAGGCACTTAACCCCAAGTTGCTCCTGCTGCTTCATGGGCGGTGTATGAATGTGTATATGAATATGATTAGTTACTTCTGATAGCCAATTTAAATAGCAGCGTTTTCTATCAGTGTGTGAATGGGTATGTGTGACATGCGGCGTAAACACTGTACTGTAACTTTTGCCCTTTTATTTTTATTTTAACTTTATTACTATATTTATGTAGCTCAAGTTTTTACACTTGTCTTTTACTGCTATCATTTTATTTTTTTAGCTTCCGTTTCTTCTGTTTTTATTTTGTGTTCTCTTTGATTTTTTTTGTTTGTTATAATAATTTTTAAATGCCCTATTTAAATGTTTTCTTTTTACCTTTGTCATGATGCTTTTGATTTCTTGTGTGAAGCACTTTCAATTGCCTTGTTGCTGAAATGTGCTATATGAATCGATATGCCTTGCCTTTCCCAACAGTACAACAAGGATCTGGCCAATGTGTTTGAAAGCGTTAAAATCGACCTGCGGGACATCACATTGCTGGAGCAGGCTGGCAGAGACAACCTCCTCAACTTCGCCAACTCTGGGATCGGACAGATTGACTATGATGCTTACCTGGCAGAGGTAATCTGTGTTTGTGTGCAGAGCTTGTATCGTATCACATTGTAGGGATTCTACTCCCGTATTAGGATAAACAGTAGCGCCACTAATGTAAACGTGTGGGTAGAGGTTAACTTCATTTAACCCGCTAACATTGTCTCGCTGACAGAAGTATTATTTTTGTACTGTTTCATGATGTTCTTTGTACGTGATTGTTGCTCCTTTATGCCAATTGGCAAAGCGATTAAACGTCAACATCCTCATTATTCAGCACTAGAATGGCTAGTCAGTCAGTCAAACTAATTGATATTTTATTAACATAGGCCCCCCAAGTGTTCTAGGCTGTAACACAGCCAGCAGCCACTAGCTGGGGCTGAAGCTTCAGTTAGTGGGCCCTGCTCTCCCTGCTGTGTTAGGTTTAACTGGCATTTAACTGCTTGATTGAAGCGTTGTGTATCGACAGTCAGCACAGCCATGTGGACATTAACCCACAAAGAGGACTGGATGCTAGTGGTTGCTAGCACTTCTTACATTAGACACACTCTGCAAACCTATCGGGTGCTTCTTTCATCTGC